GACTTCACTCTCCCTGCAGCCCCACTGGGGCCTTCTTCCACCCTCCTCCCCTTCCCCTTTCCCTTCCCTAACCCCCCTTGCTAATTAATGTCAAATAAAGAAACCTGTTTTGGCAAAAAAAATCTCTTTTTATTTTACATAACTAGGGTGGAGGGAGGGAGGATTGAGGGTGGGAGAAAGGAGGGGGAAACCTGGGAGGAGGGAGCTGGAAGGGGGAGAAAGGGGAGGAAGGGAAGGGAAAGCTCAGGGTTGAAGGTCCTGCTGGCTCTCCCATCTCGCAGCACTGCAGGTGCGGGGGCATCGGTGGGGAGTGGGTGTTGAGGGTGGAGCAGGAGGGATGGGGGTACGGAGGAAGCAGATGGGGGAGCAGGGGTGGGAGGAGGAGTGGGAGCTGGGGTGGCCGCAGGGGCTGAAGCATCTCCCGGACCCAGTACTCCTGGTTGCAGAGTAGCTGCTCCATGAACCGGAGGTGCCGCCGCTGGTAGTCCTCCTGGTTCCTGGCACGCCTGCTGGCCCGGGTGCGGGTGGCTGTTGCAGGCGGGGGGGTGCGCCCGGCAGTCCCAGGTGCTGCGGCTGTGGTGAAACAAGAGCAGTGGTCAATTCTTCCTGGGGACAAGGTGGGTGAAACCCAGCACCCCTCTGCAAGGCCAAGGCCCCTGCATGACACCCAGCTGCTGGTCCATGGTGGGCAAGGCCCAGGTTCACGGTCCCTGGGCTCCCTCTCCCCCCACCCCTCCGTACACATAAGGGGAGCGTGATGATACTCACATGTGGAGGCCTCCCCGGCCTCGGATGACACAGGCGATGTGGTCTGTGGGGTTCCTCGGGGGTCCTGGGTCCTGGGCAGGCTCCCAGCAGGCTCCTGGCTCTCGGCGTCCTCCAGCTCCTCCTCCTCCGTGTCAGGGAAGGGTCCCTCTGCCCCGGGATCGATCACCATCCGGGGGGCATGGATGGCGCGAGCCCCCAGGATGCAGTCCAGGGCCTCAAAGTGGGAACATGCCTCCGGGTCGGCCCCTGGCTGGCAGGCCCGGGAGTAGGACTGCCGCAGGTCTTTGATTTTGCAGCGGACTTGCTCCCGGCTCCGCTGGTGGCCTCTGGCGGCCAGGCTGGCAGTCGTGCGGCTGTATAAGGCCGCGTTCCTGTGGCTAGTGTTGAGATCATGGACATTGGAGGCTTCCCCCCAAACCCGGATGAAGTCCACGATCTCCGCACTAGACCAAGCGGGCGCCCTCCTCTTGCGGCCCCGGTCAGGCTCCTATGAGCCGCCAGCATGGTCCTGGGAAGAGGCGGAGGGCTGGGTGGCATCGGGTCGCTGGCTCATATTGTGACAGCTGCAGCGTCTGCTGGCTGGGTGCTGGCAGGCTTGGAACTGGCACAAACACTGTAGCCAGCCCGTGGCCCTTTAAGGGCTCCGTGGCCGGGAGGGGGGCAGGCAAGTTTCCCTGGTGTTGGCCAGAGTGGCCACCAGGGAAACCTGGGGAGGGCTAGCCTCCCACTAGTTCGAATTAAGGGGCTACACCCCCCTTAAATC